CCCCCGCCCTTGAGCACAGCGGCAACGGGGCGGCCGGTGTCCGTCTGTCGCCCGAGCCGGAGCGCGGAGTAGTCCCGCAGCAGAGGTCCGTTTCTTTTGCAAGACGTGTACCGGGGGTACAACCATCACGCGATAGTCATACCCCCCGTGAATACTAACACCACGTGGGGTACATCTATTATGTGATGGTTGTAACCCCCATCAAGGGGGTTACAACTATCACGTGGTCAGGTTCGCTGCGTCGTCTCAGCTCGCTCGCGGCCGCCTAGTAGGTGGGTAGGCAACCCACCCAGCAGCACTCCTCAGGGGTGGGTGGGGTGGTCTCCGGCGAGGCCCCCCTGACGTCGCTGCCCGCTGCCCCCGTGTCTGGTATCTTACGTACGCGGGAAGGGCAGCAGTAGACAGCAGATAGCGAGTGGCTCTGGGTACACAGCTCGCTGGGGCCGGGGGAGCGTCTCAGTCTTCGCCGGAGCTGGAGCCGGGCTGGACATCATGGCGTACTTCAGAAGCCTGTTCGGGCTCTTCCTCGTGGTGCGGGCGGTAAGTCGGCCCGTAGCTGTTACTACTCAGTCGCGAAGCTCTACTCACTGTGTGTGCTCCGCCAGGGCTTCCACATGCTGGTCGCTGGCTACGCCGTCATGGACCTCAACGACCTGCACAGCGCCACGTCGGGCACCTTCAAGCAGATCGCCCTCAAGCTCACGCACATCAGCGACGTGGTCAAGGGTGGGTCGGGGTCGTGCTCGGGCGACCGAGAGCTCGCCGTCGTTCATAACGCCCTCATCTCACCGGTGCATCATGTGTATTTCAGAGATGGAACTCCCCCTCCTGTTCTACGTGATCTGCGGCGTGATCCTCCTGATCCTGGCCATCCTGTACCCATGGAAGGACGTTGTTAGTACCGCACCGTCCGCTACCGTACTCATCTCATATGGCGACGATGGTTGACGCGATTAAAGCAGATTTACATTCCATTGCACTAGAAACGTTCGCGCCTGTCCGTGTACGCGATCCTCCACCTGCTCTACGCCCTGATGGTGGTGTACGTAGTATACGTGCGGACCATCGTGGACCTCTCCTACGTCCGGGACATCTACCAGGTCATGTGCATCCCATGGCTGTTCCCTGCTAGTCTTGGTGAGCCCTTCTACTCTCTCCCTTTCTAGATGGAACAAAAGGCCCGTGTGGCCAGGGGGAGGGTGGTACCGCGTACTGCCTGTATGTGGGTTGCCTATTCGCACCTCCGGCGTGTTAGGGGAGAGGGGGGGGGGCGGTGAAGTTGGCACCGCCCATGGCCGATAAAAATTAGTGCTACCGCTCATTTTTTAGTGCTCAATTAGTGCTTTCGAACTGTCCTATTTCTAGAATTAGTGCTTACCAAGGCTAGCTGCCAGCATCACGCGAGCACCACCCAATACCGCTAGAAATTAGTGCTACAGCTTGTCTTTTAGTGCTCAATTAGTGCTTTCGAACTGTCTTATTTTTAGAATTAGTGCCATTAAGGCTAGCGTCGAAAACGGCTAAGAAAGTGGGTGGTGCTAGCTTCACGCTGCACCGCCCACTTATCCCACAACTAAGACTTAGACCATTCTAACCGGGAGAGTTAGTGCTCTTCAGATATCAACTCAACAAAATTAGTGCTCACATTCTTGGCCCTTAAATCCGGTGTCAGAACCAGCATCCCGCCTGCCCGTTTTCGACACTAGCTGTGGTAGCACTTATTCTAGAAATGGGACATTTCGAAAGCACGAATTGAGCACTAAAAGATGAGAGGTAGCAATAATTTCCATCGGCTATGGCCGGTGCCAACTTATGGAGGTGGGGGGGGGGGGCATGGAGTATCACGCCAGTAGCTTGGGTCTGGGATACGACACAGCCAGTGGTTGCGGGTTTGCCTACCCTACAGGCCGTTGGAGGGTGGAAGGAATAGGCAAACCCGCATTACTGATGTGTCGTATAGCCCTGACACGACCAGGGCTCTCAAAACCCGGACCCACGGTTAGCCGGGTAAACGGGTCTTACCGGGTAGCAAAAGGTAACTCGGGTACCCGGGTAGACCCGGTATGTAAAATCGCCTCGCTACAGGCACGGTTCCGCCGGGCACCCGGGTTGGTTACCCGTGATAACCGGTAAGACCTGTTCAGGTTCCTACCCGGGTGGACGGGTATCCGGGTTACCGGGGTACCCGGGTAAAAGTGAGAACCCTACCTGACTCACCGCAAGGCGCTACGCACGCCCAGAGTGGCGCACATCTGTGGACAACCTATACCCACCCAACCCCAGCTGGACGTCTAGGACCGACGATCTGGTTTTGCGTTTGCCGGACGCCATAACATCTTTCGGTTTTCCTCCAGTGCTTGACGTGCTAACGTTCATCGCGGCCTGCGTCCCGAACAACAAGAGCCGCACGCTGGACGAGACAAACTCCAACGTCTTCCCCATGTACCGGACGAGCGCAGCGCAGGCAAACACGGCCCTGCCCATCAGCTTGATTCGTGTACGCTATGAGCTATGAGCCCGTGATGGGCACTCCGGATGCGCTTTCATGGTGGTGCGTGCAAGGTGCTGGATACAGACGTTCTCATTTTACAGGAAGCTGCCTAGAGTCCACGTGGCGTCGGACGGAGCGGAAGGGCCTAGGTTCAGTCACCTCGGCCCGTGAGTGGCGGTATCACGCTCACCTTCCCTCGACCTAACGAGGGTGGGACTTCCCTATCGTGCCACTGCTGCACGAGGCTCGCTGTCATTCCTTCAGTGTACACATGCACTGATTACAGCCTACATCCGTTTTCGTTTCCGATATTTTCGTTAGAGGATTTCTTTTTAAATCGTTTCTCTTGAATGATTTAAAAATTTAATACACACCTACTATTAACTAGCACCATTTTTTTAATGGCTACATTTTATTTAGGAAATAAGTTGAAGTAAAACAATACAAGTCTTCAACAATGATTTAACAAGAAGATATTTGATCTCTGTACAGACTCCAAGAGAGTAACAGGAAATAAAAATGCATAGTAGCATTTAGTAACTATAGGAAAAATATTTTTTGTTTGAAACACAAAATGTATTAAATTGTGTATGTTTGATCAGTTACCCTCCATATGAAACAATTCTTAGAAAAGAATACGTTGATATATAACCAACTATAAGGAACTGCTACAACTCACATGAAATGTAAATCATGAAATGTAAATAAATTTGATGAACTTTGTACAATATAAAATGGTTTGTATGAAACATGAAATAATTTCTTGCTGAAGAAAAGTAAACATTCAGCATACAGCACAGCCATCAACTCAAACTTTGGTGGGAAGCTTATTACAAGCTTGGAATAATTAATTATCATGAATGCTCACAATACCTTTGACTTCTATAACAAAAAATACTATGGTGCAGTTAAGGCATTCATGCTCTTTGAACCTCATGGTGCAGCCTAATTTTCTGACCTTGTTTTACGGCACTTCCAAGTTTCATTATCATTACCAAAAATATTGAGGTTTCCATTTACACTTCAGTCCACTTTCAGTCAATTCAATTGGACTGAATGGCTAAGACACCCTCCATACTTTTCTACACACAGCATGGCATGGATTTAACATTTAACTACCACACATTCTGATTGATTGAAAGTTAAACTCTAATATTGGTTATAAATTTATAACAATGAACCAAAGGAGGGTGAAATCACAAATTGCTAGAAATTTACCTACCTACAATATTTAAATCATTATCAGTCTACGGAAAACAAGGAGACCTATTGCTGTTACTATAAATAGTATGATCAGACTTCGGTGTCGATCCAAAAGGTTTATATTTCCCGTATTAGCCTGTGGTTGCACAGTCTGAGAATTCAATGAATTACTAGATTCTACTGCTGCTGGTCCTCCACTAGCTTGGCCAGGAGCAGAATCTGCTGTATAAGGCTTCCTTACTCTTAGCTCGGATTGAGATGATTCAGAGACTGATGATGATGGTGGGTCAGCTTCCCCATTATTACTTTCATGTACTTCTTCCTCCTGATATCAAAATCATACAAAAAGTTTAGATTCTTGAAACAATTATGCATATGTACAGAATGAAGAACTATCCTGATGCATATTACCTTAAACGCAACACAATCAATCAATGATTTTTCTTCCTCGGTCACAGGCTTTGACACCCCAGTGGCAAGCTCCTCGGTGATTTTCCCACAATCCGAACACACGAAGGACTGTGACCTTCAGAGCAAAAGAAATAGACATTTGACAGAGCGCTGTACATCCAAAGGGTAATGTCCAAGAGCAGAGACTCTTACTTGAGAGCCAGTTGTTTCCTTTCTTCAGGAGTAAAATCCAAGGAACCAATTGTACCAATACCAGGAGTTGGCATGAAAGCAATCAGAGCTAGCAAAGCTGTTCTGATTGACCAGGAAGGTTGCCAGGTTTCTGGATGATGTCCTGATATGCTGAGACATATCTTCTTATTGACCTCAAATCGACCGTTGGGCTAGGCAAAATTAAAGAAACCAATAAAAATGTTGCTGTCAGAAAACTTTGGGAAAGCGATTGACACCAGCAAAGAACAATTTTAAGATAAATACTGTTAATAAAATGATGTTGGGTGGCTTCATTGGATACTCTGCTGGAAGAAGAATACGTCCATGGTAGACTCCACCTGAGAAATCAGAATCTGGTGGTCCTCTTATAGTGAAGTGCCATTCAAATAAGTTTTCTTCCAAAGGATGGGCGCAGTAATCCTCAGTAGCCTCTTGTAGCTCCTTAGCCTCTCGCATCAAACGTTTTACAGCTGCCACAAAAGAAATAAAAGACATCAAAAAAATGGATCATTTATTCATCTGCAAGCTCAGCTAGATATAGAATAGTATAGTGGACATTTACACAATGAAAATCAAATATCATTTAACTCAGTTCAGGCTCTTAAAATAACTTACAAGTGCTTTTGGTATTGTATTTTGCCTGATATTGGTCCATGTTAGAAACCGAAAAGAATGATGTAAACTGCCACTTGAAGTTTCTATCTAAAAGCCTTAAAGTTCGACGAATCACTTAACAACACGTCAACTTGAAAACAATCCGCAGTTAGGACTCTTCTTTAATGGTCAGCGGATCAACAACAACAACAACTAGGTTTTCTGCTAGGCTATGATTGAAGAGGGTTAACTAAATTCCTAACGTCCTTAGTTTTCAAAAATCTAAAAGTTCAAAAAACGAGTGAACGTTAGCTACATTGAAGTAAATTTGTACAAAATAAATGGCCCTCAATCCTTTATAAAGAAAAGAAACGACAAATAAGAAGAAATCTCTGTAAAAATTATTTTCCTGACGTTGGTACATTATTGGCACCGGAGCGTGTTATTCGCAGTTTAACGAGGAGGGAAAATTTGAATGAATTTCAGACGAGTCAATTTATCGTTAGGCACTGAGGACTGATGATTTTGGTGGTGAAAGTGTATGAAAATACTGAGGCAGGATCAGTTAAAATTGATCAATAATCACAGTTTTTATTTAACTAAAAATAAAGAAAGAAAAAAAGCAGGATAGTACACAAAACAAGAGCCAGTATACATAAACAATGATTCGATGGAAGCTTAATTATTTGACCACTATAAAATAACACATAAGCAGCTGGGAAATCAAATTCAGTACAGAAAATTACAAGAAATATGATTTAAGTCCATAGAGAACGTATAGCATCTCCATGGTTAAGGCAACATGTGGCATAAACAAGGCCATTTCCTCTCTCTCAGCAAATATTATTGGAAATGTTGTTCGTAGTAAGAACTTGTAATATACATCATTTATGAGAAAAGGGATTACGAGGATTCATGCAAGAATCTATTGAAAGCATTGTAAGATGACTCAAGGTCAAATAATAACTGTCGCACTTGTGTTTCTGACAATTCATCTGAAGCTTGCATAGAGGACAAAGTATTAAGCCAGTCTGAAACCTTCTGCTTCCCTTCAAAGCTGGACGGGAGAGAACTCAATCGATTCATTGTGTCCATAAGATCTCTCAAATCTGGGTGCAGTTCATCCATGGCTTTAATCTCTAGTCTTAGCTTGTCCATAATTGTGATAAATAACTGTTCAGAAATTAATGGAGAAAAAGATGTCATTAGCTCATGAATCAATGAATCAACATTAAAAACAATATAAAATGTATTGTGAAACTTACTGAAACAATGTCAGCTATGCACTTGCTTGTATTGCCTTTGTCATCTTTAATAGTTATTGGCCTATCTTCTTTGATGCGTTCCAGTGCAGCAGGACAGTCAAGCTAGAAAGGAAACAAATGCAGGTATTATTTCGATCTCCATAAAATACCCATCAAAGATTACTTCAAATCTTACCCTGTACTTTTTGACGAATGCTTCAATATTAGGAAATTCATCACCGTGTACTTGCTTGAAGGCTGCCTTGTATTGTACAAGCAACTTGGTACATGCTGCAGTATACTCTTTAGGTGTAACACAGTCCCTCAAGAATGCCTTTTCCAGGTGTTGCAGTGTGTTAACAAGAGCAAAGAGGTCTGCCATGTTGTCATACCTTTAAAAACAAAACCAAAATTATCAAAATGAATTTGAACCAGGATGACAGATGATATTATTGGTTCCATACTAACTTTTCTCGTTCCCGAGCATTGCGAAACAGCTTAACATCCTCAAAAAGCTCTGGACGATTTGCATCTGGAAAAATAGGAATGAGAAATGTAACACAGATTAATTTAATGCACATGACAAATCAAAAGAGAGTGTAAATTGAGAAAAACGTGATTCCACAGCACTCATTGACGACATTGTTTTGCAAGTTGCTTTAATTTAAATATTTACTGTAATGTTACATGAAGAGAACATACTCATTGTTTTACTAACCTGAAGCCATTGTGATTGATATTGTTACAACAAAACAATACTTTTGAAACTAGTGTAAATACACCTAACCAAATAAACTAAAATTACTCCCCACGAGATCAATAGACGCACAAAGTAGATTTACGTGAGAAGGAGAACTATATTTCAGCGTTGACTCCGTTGCAAAAAAAAAAAAAAAGTACTTCAGGTCCCACGAATTTACTTGAGTCTGAGTAGAAGACGCAAATGTTATCACTTGAGATTTGACAGCGATGAGTCAGACGTCACACCACAATCAGGCTGGTCGCTCGCTGGTCCCTGACACGGAGAGCATTCAAGTTGGCACCAATGACTTCATGTCGTGGTTGTTTAGGCCTTGTTAGGCCTCTGCTGCTATTTTCTTTGGCCTGTTATCACGGTGAAATCTTGATTTTTGAGTCGTGTAGGTTGCTTACTTTCACCTTGTAGCTGAAGTTTTAACTTAGTGATCCACCGGTACGACACATTGTCGCAATGGTGAGTTGTAGTCATAAGTGAGAAAACCGTACACACCTGTCAGGTGCTGCAGAGGGCTTTCACTTCTTTCTAACTAATTAGATGCAATGTCCATTAATTTTGCCTGTATTAATGTTTACGTTCAGTTTATTTTTATTTTGTAGTATTTCCATACTTAACTTTGAACATGTTTTGATAGGTTTGCTACACATCAACAGTGTTATTTTGCATTTGCTCTGTAAACGACTAACTGATGTAATATTTTAATTTATTTTTTAATTTATTTAAATCAAAACGGTTTTTTGTTTTCAACAGGATCCCAACTTGCCTCCCCCATCCTATGGAGCTCACAACACACAAGCTTTCACCAGCATAAACCACAGTGAACCATGTGAGCCGTGCAGTTCCAACATGATAGAGGAAGCGGGCGCAGTAGCTCTCTGCGCACAACCGCCTCTCTCTCCTGTGAGTTATGTTGAGTTCATCTCCTTCTGCAACAGTTTCCACAAAAATATTATTAATTAACATGACTATTATATCTATTAACATTTTCACGTACTAACATTATCCAACTAGGCATGAGACAAAATATAAACCTCTTTATACTTTTCCTTTAATCTTTATGTGTCACTTATTTTCTGTGTAATAACCTGTTATATTTTCAGAATTATGAAATTCCACCACCAATGGCAGATTTCTCAGCTCCACCTCCTTATGAGGTTGCTACAAAGTTGCCCACTTACGATGAGGTCCAGCAAGAGAAACGACGAGAGGGAGAAATGGGTGGTGTCCTTCCTACCCTTCCGATAGTAAGTTTTGTTTATCACTGTGTTGTATTTGACAAAACCATGTCTAGAATGTTACCCTCAAATGTCCATTTCAGCATCAGCAAGCACAGGCACCACGATCAGCTGCTTCCATGCCAATGTTTTTGGCCATTGATACTGACACTCACCCTGATGAGTCAAACAAAGCAATGCTAGGAACTGATTTCATGTTTTTTACTGCTTTTGTAGGCAAGTATAAATACATACATATACCTATCTATCTTGTCTTGTTTTGAGATTGTCGTGAGTTCACTTATTCAAAGCGCTTTGTCTATTTCTTTTTCTAGTGTCATTTCTATTCAACTGGATTGGTTTCCTTTTACTCATGTGTTTTTGCCACACAATTGCTGCTCGTTATGGAGCTCTCTCCGGATTCGGCCTTTCATTATCAAAATGGACCCTTATTGTTAAGCATTCATCTGATGTTACTGACCATGTATGGCTTTACTGGCTCGTCATGTCGTTTGGTAAGTCTTTAGTGCTTTGCAATCCTCTCCGTTAAATTACTGAGAAAATTAATCACATGCCCATATATCCTCTTCTAGGGCTTCTTATTTGCATTCGAGCTATTGTTCACTATCTGAACATCAAGCGTGGTTGGCAACTTCTGTCTGGCAATCCTCATGCTCAAGAAAGGCTCCTGTTCTTCTATTAAGTCTTACAGCTTAAGATTTAACAAAAAAAACCTAAGTCAGGAAAATAAGGCGTGCCCTTAAAATTTTGTCTCATGTATTTATTGGTCTGTCAATATTAGTCACCTTTTTAATGAAAGGGTGGGAGAAATGTGTTTTTTGTTTTTATTTTTTAGGTGGTATACACTATATTTCGGAATAATTATGACTGGAAAGAGTTAGGAGATAAGTCGTTATTCTGATTTGTTTTCCAGTTTGGGCTTTTAAAATATTTTTACAGAACTATGATGATGTTTGACTCTGTTTTTGTTCACTTGTTGGTTTTTCTTTTTGTTCATTTTTATTTTTGATTACTCTTTCGTTTTAAGGTCTTCAGGTGGATGTGGTCTCTTGAGGAAAACAAAAAAAGAAAAAAAAAAAAGAAAAGAAAAGTGGAGAGGATATGTATTGAATCAGCCCTCAGCCCATCAGAGGAACTGAAAAGGCCATCTCTTTTCCTTTGCTTTCCTTGCAAGACTAAATCCGCCATTACAGTGGTTTACACTGTAGTAAAGCAATGTCAACACTGCATAGAGAAAGTTTTAAGTCTTTTCTTCTGTACTGTAGTGAAAATTTATATCCCTAGTTCATAATTACTAAATATTCACTAAAGATTGTAATTCTCATGTTGCAGTAGTGCAAAATATATTTCATGACATATTATGAAAATTTGAGGATAGTTTTCTCTACATTTAGTGTTTTATAAGTCTGTATACTTGCCTTCATGTTAGTTTTACCTCCAGGAAGTAATAAAGACAAAGTTAGGGGAAGCACATTTTAATTATTTTATATACAAGGTTTGTTCTAATCACAGATAATAGTAGATGTGTCTCACCTTTTATGTCATAAACTCTAGATTCACAGCTTGCATGTTGTTCTCACTTCAATAATATTCTTACATGATAGTCATCATATAGGAAGGAGATCACTATAGTTCATACACGTGTTTTCTCTCAGCTTGCCTTCTGTTTTTTAAATTATTCCAAAAACCCAATCTTATCATTGAATCATTACTATTGTTTTACTTATTTATCATGCATTATTTTTGAGATTTTATGATGCAACAAGTATGTGTGGAGGGACAGTTACATGAGGTGTTTTACTGCTTTGAGGAACAATCAGAAGATGATCTGTGCAGGAATGTTCTTCAATTTTTTAGCAGACATAAGTGTTTTTATGAAAAACTACGAAATGGTATGTAAACATTCACTACCAGCGCTTCTTGAAGTAGAGGAAAACTGTGAGCTGCCAAAGAGTGTGGTAGTGGGTGTGTACAGGAATTTAAGGTCAATGCCATCTATGCAGTGTTGGTTTGATTTCTTTTTGTGATATATATTCGTCAAATGTGGGGTGACACTCTAATATAGACAACCTTCATTTGTTGACCTTTTAGCTATCAAAAATTAAATGTTTTCTTGTCATGGCTGTGTTAAGGAATTCTATGTCTAATACATTGAAAATGCAAAGGGTATTATCTGATTTTCATTTTGATGGTGCTTTTCTTCAAACATGCAGGGCTTATACTGGCCACGATTGTCATTAATCGGAAACGTTCTAGTCGGAAATCAGCCAATCAGACACCTCCAAAACCCAATAGAATGTATCCAATAAATGACAATCGTCGCCAGTCTACATCCTGCAACATCTTTGTCAGATGATTATATTTCAGCTATTTGCAAGTCATGTGAGTCTAGATGCCAGTATTGATAGGTTGTTTGTAAAATATTTAGTGTAAGTAAGTATGTATATGGAAGGAATCGTGGTGTTGAAATAAATATACTTTCCAATCCAACTTACGATGAAACTGATAACTGTGCAATAATCTAAAGGTTGAAGTAAATGAAAAGTTTAGGATACATTTGGTGAGTTGTATTTTGAAGCCAACACTCAAATTCATATCAAAAATCACTGGTGTGGGTTGAAGAAAGACTTAGTGCAGAGTCCATTACTACAATTCTCAGCTGACTGTTGCATTTCATCTTCACCAAATCTATCAGCGAAGCAATATTCACACAAATACACAACAGAAAACCACTTCTACAAGACACTTACAAACCAAATACATACTCAGGTGTTCAGCAGAACCAACCAGATACATCTAAGAAAATCACTCATCTCAAAACGATTGCAAATAAAAGAGTTTTACACCGACAGCTTTGACTTGTTCAAGTATAACCAATGCTGCCAAAATTAAAAAGTACATAGTCTTCACAGATCGCTAGTCATATTGCAAAATAATGCATGTGGGTCGACTCTATAAACATGCTCATTTCTCATCTCTTTGGTTAATAATAACAATGTAATGTTCACACCAAAAATATTCATGGTAGCCAAAGAGTGTTGAAATGACAGCCATCAAAACAAGGATTCTTTCTGCAAGTGTAACATTAAACATCAAAAATACAACAGCAGAACTTTTGTACGGATATTGAATTAACGAGATTTCTCCATTAACAGACAAACAAATTGTAACAAAAGCTTGAAGGTAATACTGTTCACACAAATACTTCACAAGGAGATATCAATAAGATATTCCTCAAAGAAAACAACCTTAAAACAGTACGGTTACAAAATATAAATTCTTGTCCTTAGTTACGATATGTACAGTTCAGATATCTGGAGTGTAAAAAAAAAAAAAAAAAAAAAAGAAATACTGAACTTGTAAAATAAAAATTACACACATAATATTGATTAAAATTTTCACTGAGGAAATGACTAAAATTCAGCAAGGAGATAAAAAAAGTTGTGAGGCTGCTAACATAACCATAACAATAAAACTCATTTTAGTATCTTTTTTACCATCAGAGAACAATTCTAAAAATCTGAAGTCAAAAATAAGATTGGGATATGAGATTTTAACAAACCTTAAGATACTGAGCTGTTATTAGTTTTTTGGGGCTGGTGCTGGAGCCACTGCATTGGCTCGGTAGAACTCAGCAAGCTGAGAGATTAGGAAAAATTTCTTTTGCAATAAAAAGCAATACGTACATACCCAACCAAAAACGCTGCATCGAATTTCGTCAAACTGACATATTTTTGTCTCTGATTCGACCTACAATGTGGAAAAGATTGCATTTCAACGTGTCATCTGGCTGGGTACATCCAAAACTAAGTTCAAAATGCCTCACAAAGAATGCCTTTGAATAAAGAGGATATAAAACTTACTGTTAACAGTTAATAAAAAACTGAAAGATTCAGTTAAACCTCTTTTTTTCAGTACTGGCGTGGAACAGTTTAGTCAGAGGGATCACACTTGAAATGCATGTTCATGTTCAATTCAATTAAGAGGGTTAAAGAGTTACAGTAAATCTAATGGAAAATACTGGCAATATCACAGACAACAGTATGAAAGGAACAAAGTCTTTTTAAAACGAGAAAAGAAACAATTAATGTATTGATAAGCTTTTGGTATGCAACATCGTCTGCATTTAGGCTGATTTTGCATCAACATAGAAATACAATCTGAAAAGATTTTATGTAGAAATAAGATCAGATTGAACTGATCTAATCACCTTTTACTCAAAGGAAAACTTGAGGCATGTTTAAGAGAAAAAAAAAATTGACTTCTATCAGCAAATGTAAATTACAAGCTTTTACGGATTGGTTGTAACATTTCTTGAAACTAGCGCACAGATTTGGAGAAAGAATGAGATGCTGGTGTACTCTTAAATTTAAAAGTGATGAATGATAGCAAAGAGGTGGAAAGAAAGTCATTAAGTCTACAAGTTAAATTATTTTAAAACACGTGAGGTCAACACTCCGATCCAACAAAAGAATTCAAAGTCCTTTGGTATACAGAAGTCATAAGGAAAAAAGTGTATGATAAAGGCACTAAACACCAGAGACGAGCGTTTTCCCGATTTTAAACCGACCGCACAAACCGGGCAGCGGTCTTTGACAGACACCCCAGGCTGGTTTGCGCGGTCGGCCTAAAATCAAAAAGAGAAATCGCTCATCCAAGCCCCCAAGCTAAACACTAATAAAAAATACTGCATGCCAGAGTTCTCTCTAGATTTCCATACAATTGAACAAAGTTTATCATAGCATTGAAAGTGAGAATGATTGCAAAGACAGCCTACAATTGGAAAGGTATATGACTAAGATAGATAGATAGATATATTAAAAAAATAACACAACCACAGAGACTCAAGCCAGTCTCTTCCTTAATACATTAGGCCCATAAAAGAGTAATTGATTCTTAACAGAAGTAATTGATCTACAATTGAGACTGTTCTAAAATTTGTTGCTGCGATAGGACTTTGACATACCACATGTGGCACTTAATATAACCATGAAAAGAACATTAACATTGGTATACTAAGGCACATACATCCATCAATTGCACAGGTGACAAAGTTTGTTTCCAGTACTAGGAAGATGAAAAACATTACAGTCTACAACTAAAACACACTTGTGATGTATGAATAAATAAAATAGACACAAGAAATCATTTAGTATGGCATTGAGTCATGAGAAACTCATGAAACGAGTGATATGGCTGCACAGGATAATAAAAGCCAATACATCAACTGTAACTTAAAATAAATTATAAGTTTTTCTTATGCTAATGAAGCTAAATAATAGCTCTGGACTAGAAAATCGATGGGCAGTTTTCAGATGTACAGAAACATATACCAGATTAATCATCAAACACTGTTGATGATTGTAGAAAATAAAGAGATCTCAGAATCAAAAGGCACAAGGAACATCACAAGAGACAGTACAGAGATATTCAGCATTCTGAGCTCACACTTCAGTAATCAAGACTAATGAGATATACATATCAGAATAATGACATGAGCAAAAGATTTTGCCTAATCTAATTTAAGGGTATTTAGGCAGCACACAAACCATGATAAAAATGAGCAAGACAACAAATTTCACATCAGCAAAGCCCAGAGTACAGAGTGAAACACAAATTCTACCACAGTAAGAAAGAGGTATGCCATTTGTGCTTAGTACTTGCAGTTAACATAGGCTTCAAAACCAACAAATTTCATTTGATGCAACACCCAAATATGCGTGGTACAAATTAGTATTTGTAATTGTAATCACAAGATAAGTTCATTCCAAACTAGTAGAAATAGGTGGTTCGTATGCAGAATGGTTGAAGACAAAACCACTAAAATCATTGCTTGAGAACAGTGTGAGAAAAACTTTCACAACTCTCTCATAAGAAAAAACAGTGCTCATATTTTTCAGTCAAGCAAAAACTTGATTCAAAAATAAATAATAACCCTATGACTGGGGATTGATTCTAATAAAAATTTACTTTTAGAAATGTAGACATGTGGCCCATTATGATTTGTTTTATGGTACAACCAACTTATGCAAATGCAGACATACAAAACAGTACAGAGATTTGAGGATGGCTCCTGGTGATGCACACGAATACACGAGTGGAATAATGATTTGTGTTTAAAACTCAGTACCCATCACTTATTGAATAAATAATACGAAAACACTAACAAGTGTCTTTCAGTAAGAAAGACAATTGAAAAAATATGATTGATGGGTTTAGGGACGGATGCAAGAAACTCATTCACATGCCAATTTGCTATCAAAACTACTAAGTGCAATTGCAAATGCCTGCAATGCACACATTGGATAACGATAATCCATGGTAAAAACATCTTCAGCAACACGTCCAAACTGCATGACAACATATTCCACTGTGAAAGAGAAAGTTAAAATTGTCACAACCACTTTGAATTGAAGATAAACCACTTCAATAAACTACATAAAAGTACATACCATCACTGTCATGAACAATCTGGAAGTTTTTCACAGATGCTTGGGTCACTCTACCATGAAAGTTAAGGACATACGACTGGGTGTCATCATTCCAAACAGGAGTCTTATTGTGGAGCTCAATTAGATTATCCATATTTTTGTTCTTGTAGCATTCTACACCAAAGATAAGAAAATTAATTAAGTAAGGGCATGATGACACTCATAGAAATACATTACATACCTATAATAAAAATATAAATCCAAATACTCACCCAATAAGGTCTCACTTTCATCTTGAGGACATATTTGTACTCGTTGTTGGTCTTGTGTCATACCTGGTAAAATCACTGTCATTTTTCGCGGTCCTTTAAAACCTAATACATTGGTTTCCTGTGGTAAAACATAAAAATCAACTTATGATGGGTGAAACAAGTACTTGAATTTTGTCTGATACATCAACCAAGACGAAATTACTAACATAAATTACTGCTGCAAGTTCCTGCCTTGGAGTTGTACGTTCCTCCTTAGAATCAGATCTGCTACCTGGTGCCCTACCATTGTCATAAACAGTGAAATGGGTGCCCAACAAATTTGATCTTAGCTTCCCAACAAATGCCTCTCCGCCACGAGATAGATCAGTAGGGTCAGTTGAGATGAGGTAATTACTGGTAGTGCTCTTCTTCCTCTTACGTCCAGCCAAGAGAAAGACCTAAAGTTATTAGAGGCAGTTAAGGTGAAATTGGCTAGTCTGACTAGGAATATTGTTCAACAACAAGTATGAATGTACCTTTTTTCCATAATCACGTTCTAAGTGAAGAAAATATGTTGGATAAAGACCACGGTCCATTCCTTTGCGGTCACGAGTAATGCGACACTTGTAATGCATACGTTGGCAGGCAGGTTCAAGGACGAAAGTTTCCAGACTTCCAACAACATCACCCTCAACTTCCGGATTCTGAAAATCAATTTAGTTCAAAACTATTCTTAATCACATCAGCAAACACTTTAAGGAACTTACATTGGGATTGTTGATGATATTTGGTGTGTCTGAATATGGTACAACTGTACTCTCTAAGTGGGCATCAGGAGTTGGAGGAGCCACAGGTGTAGACTCTTCATCTTCAAGCTCTTCAGGGTCCACTTGCTGAACCTCACACACACCTCCAACATCATCATCTGCTCAATAAGCAGCAAATGTTATTAAAATAATTTCAGAACTTAAAAAACTTAACTTGTAACGTACATTAAAATTAGAACCAGATCTTACCACTATCAATGTTGGAAACTGGTCTCAGATCCATCACACCATCAGGATTTCCAGGAGACATAGTAAATTGTAAGGGCCCATCGTAACCTAGAGCCAAATTTGGTTCAAAAATCAACTCCTCAAACAAATTTTATCTAAGAGAGAAGGGACATGGAATGAAAAACTTACCATGTAACTCTCTATGCATACTTCTGGATTTGGCAGATGAGGTACGTACATCTGAGGCCTGTACCATACCTGGTGTCTGACGCTTCAGACGCATCTTTTGCTCCATGATTTGACGCTGAAGGAAAACAAAATTGAACACACAAAGTTTATCAAGTGACAGTCAAAGAAATAAATGAAATACTACTGAGATCGAATTTTAGGAAAAAATACTTTGTCACAGAAAGTGAGATTACAGCACAAAAATCAACAAAGAAATGTCAAGTTTCTTTTTTCTTTGAAAGTTTAAAAACACCTAAAAGGGCGTCCTAGAAAGCAAGGTTGCAACTAAGACATACATGACCTCTGTATAGTTATCGGAAGAAAAAATTGATAATAATTTTATATTCAAAAAATAAAAACTCCTCACAAGTGTCAATTTTGAGGAACGGAATGTTGTTTTTTTATAGGTTATGATATCGACAGCCTCTAACAATAACATTCCATACCTGCTGTTCTAACTTCTGCTGTCGGAGGTTGGCAGACGACATTGTCCAAATAAATATAAATAGGGTCTGTGGGGACAAAAGCTAGGTTCACAGCAAAACAGATAATAAACAGATAAAATTCTGTTAGCGATTACATGAAGCTCCCTCTTGCGGTTGTTGAGTATGTGCTCAAAGCTCACAGCAATTCGGCACCACTCTGAGGCGCGTTCTGATTGGTCCGCATCGGCGCGCCAGTCAGAGAGTTATGTCTTGAAACTTTCAGCATGCTTTCAGTGGATGGCTCCCTCCAATCTCTACTGTACAGGAGTAGGTGTCGTCATTTGCCCTAGTTTCACTGTGCTCAAGTGGTTGAATGCTAAGAAAAACGCAAAATTAGGCCTCGAACTTCTGATCAAAAGACCGAAACTTCTGTCTGATTTGAACGGCACCTCTTCGCGCGTGCTTGCGCGGTGCATTGTGGGATGAGAATAAACGCCAATAAGAGCACTTGCCCATTATCGCCTATTTCTGTCGTCTGTCCGTCATCCCTCTACACCGTCAAACCTGGACAGATATATAGGCACCTTTAATACTTTTTTGTACGAGCCATCACATTTGTCGGATTATGGGACAAAAGTTGCCTTATTTTGGTGTTTTTTTCGCAACATTTGGATTCTGAAGTCAGAAATGTTCTGTTGGTGTACAATATTTATTTGAATTATTATCTATGAATCTAAGTGTGTTGAATAGGGTTAACCTGAAAGTAAGTATCTTTAGAAATTCAAAAGTGTACCCTTGGTTTTCCTGTACTATAATAGTTCTTTGTAGTGTCACAACAATCTAAAATGTCAGATTTCTCCCTACATGTTCAGAAAAATTTTTGTGAGGTAGAGCTGTGACTGTGTTGCTGTCATCTGGGATTGTCAAACTCCAACAAGTGTCCTTCTTTTTAATAGTTAAATAATTAATCTTGAAATTACCTGCATTTTTTTCTAAAACTATTTATGCTAATATTGTTGTCATTCTTGTTATTCAATACACTTAGAGTTTTCGATTCCTGCTACATTCTCATTTTAATATTGTATAAATTTGTTTTAGTCTGAGTGCGAGGGCAGTGTGACCCGCCCTGGCATGTACAGGGAGTGGGCTTCCCTGAGCTCTCGCCTGCTGAATGGCAGTGAAGAAGGGCACAGCGTTTTGGAAAAATTTCCTGGAAATGCTGGTAAAGATGTATCACTGGCAATTATTCGTCAGCTGGCATCAAATGTTGGAATATCACAACCCCCACAACCAAGCAACCTTATTACTGACAGAGAAGTACAGTGGTGTATGGAGGTGAGTGCTATCATTACATTTCTCATTTTGTAGTGTGACTGTTTCAGTGTCCTAATTCCATATCTTTTCAGGTGATCTGTTTTGGTCTTAGTCTTCCATTAAGTGAACATGACACTATTAGGGATTGCGTCAATGTTTATTGTGAATGGCTCTCTGCTCTTTTGCCATCACCAAAAGTCAGTGTTCCAAAGCCTGTTGTTGAAGACCCAGATCTGTACGCTCGTCGAATAATTGCTCATTTTCATAATCTGTTTGTTCCTCGCAAAGGGGAAGGTAAGTTTTTCTGCAGGTCCTATTGGGGTGTAATTAAGTCATTGATTTTCAAAAATAAGTCCGTTGCACATAGTAAAACATCTTGGGAAATCTATCTCTCTCTAAAGTCTGCTAACGGATTTTCAATTTCTTGTTTCAAGCGTGGACCTTCCTGTATTCAGATTTAGGTAAAAGAGGATTTCTAATTTTTTAATAGATTAGATTAGTAATTTGTAGCATGGGTTGTATTTGCTTGCTTATTATTCTTGGGTATGTTTTATGTTCTTTACTTGCCATTACATTTTTTTCCTTAACCTGCTTGCAAAGTGCAAAGATATTTTTGTCATAGCAAGAAAGAAGATAAGCAGATATTTGTAGATGATTTTAGTTTCATGTATGCTGCAATAGTTACTGTGTTTACTAGAGAGTTTGATGTTTTCCGCGGTGCAAATCACTCTATATCACTATATTAGTTCTATTGATATTTACTTTCATTTCAGGACTTACTACCCGTTACTTAATATGAGATTCCCTATTCTTTTACAGGGGCTGATACTATCAATCGTCAAGCAGTACTGTGTCATAGAGTCCTTCGTACTCTACAACATATTGCTCAGACCTCTGCTGCACTTTCTCGTGAGACTTGGGAAGCCTTACTTCTATTCTTGCTTGCTATTAATGATACATTATTAGCACCCCCTACTGTAAAAGGTAAATAACTAAACCAGTAATTTGAAGGGAATTTCCTCTTCAATAATTGTTTTAATGTTTTCATGAACATTGAAACACTGTAAACCTAATCCATTATTTTTTTGGTAGATGATGTTGGGGACCAACTCTGTGAAAGAGTTCTTAGTGTGCTCCTTGAGGTTTGGCTGTTAGCCTGTGCTCGGTGTTTTCCATCACCGCCTTTATGGAAGACTTTACGAGAGATGTGTCATAATTGGAGGCACCGAGTTGCTCTGGTTGAACAATGGAACAGAGTTAACCTCGCTCTAACTTCAAGGCTCATTCAATTTGTGTATGGACCTTCATTCCCTGAACTGAAAATAAGTATGTCATTTAATATCTTATCAGTCTTGAATTCCCTCGTTTCTTTGATGTATTCTTTCCTTTGAAATTCTTATGAGTATCTTTGTTTCCCAGCTGAGGAGGATGCCCAACTTGTTCCATCTGATATGACACCAGATTGCATTTCACAGAGTTGGTTCAGGTTTCTACATACTCTAGGCAATCCTGCTCAGTTATGCCGGCCAGGAGTTATATCTCACACACAAAAATTCCTGCAGTATGCCCTAGCATCAGATAGTGTGATTGATCCCTGCCAACATCCTTGTTTGTCTGCTCTTCCTATCATATTTTTGAAAGCCATCCGAGGTGTTGCCGGGCAAGTTGACGCTTTTCTAGGTAAGTTACATTGTTGTAACTATTACTAGTTTTTTTTTGTGTTTTTTTGTGCACTGTTATTGAATAGATATGGGAACTCCATTGCTTTTGTTAATTCTCTTTGCCTAACATAGCATTCTTCTAGCACCGAAGCTATATGTGTATTTTGTTGTCGTTGTTTTACAAATCTGTTGGCCACAAAAGATGGCCCTCTTCTGTAATTGTTCTGGAGTGAAATTATAGGATAATTTTCTGATCTCTCAAATTGAGCATTTAACTATTGTTTAGTGAATTTCTCTAGGGACTTTTTATGCTACAGAAATTTTGGTGCTCTATACAAATTCTACCATATCTCTTAAGTACTATCTAGTTTCATTTATTTTTTAAAGTAGGGTTGTGAATTGTATGTATTCTTATAGGCATAGCACGTTCATTGCACATGGACTTTGGACTGCTCTCTGAGAAGGAACGGAAAGACGGCTATTCATCCCCTTTCTCTTCCCCCTCTCTTCACTCTGGTGGAGCCCATACCTCTTGCCCAAGTCCCCTCTCTACAACACCCACTCCTCTACCAACCAGACGTCTTGCCAAGAGTTTCAGTGTTACCCCTTCTACTGTCACAAAGGGTAGGCTTTCCCTTCACTGTCTTCAGTATGATTTCTTTAGCAGTTATCATCAAAGTTGTAGTTTATTGCATGATTTAATGAAAGAAGCTGCTTTTCTTTAACCCTCAATTTCTTCTTCTCTACATTCACATTAGGTTTTTGGTTACCACCCTTGTATTAAAGTTCAGTAGCTAGTTAATTTTTTTTTTTTTTTTTACTTTGCTCTATTTATTTGTCTGCATTTCAAGATTTGGTTTTAATGGGCACTTTTAGTATTAAACTACCACTTCATCCTGCCACCCTCCATCATCTTTCTTTCTTATGCATGCCAGCAGTTTTGTTTTACACACTCCGTCTCCCCTCCAAACCCATGTAGAATTTTCATAGGACTGAAATCCGGTAAACTTCTGGTTATTGATTGGTTAGACCTATAATTTTGTTTTCATTTTTTGTCCCGTATCTCGTCTGTAGCTTTCTTTCACTCATGTAGTTTTATAAAATAATTTCATTCTGAGTACTAAGAAAAGAGTGATAATAAGAGGCATACTTGTTACAGGAATTCCAAAGTCAACTTTGATAGGATTGACTAGTAGTCGAGCTTCTCATCATACCCCCGCTACACCAAATTCTGGACCATCATCGACCTCAAGCTTATCATGTAAGTTATATCTCATCACCGAACCGCAGTTCATAGGGTTCTGCTCCTGTATTATCTATCTATTAATATCAGAAGCCTAGTAATATTTTCTTGTTTTACCCCCAGCTATTATATCACTAGGGTCAGAGTTTCGAAATGCTCTAGCTCCATCGCGGCCAAAGTGTAACAGTATTCTCCATTTGTTTGGTGAATGGCTTTTTGAAGCTGCTCAAATTGGTTGTGAGACAGCATATGTCAATCGAGTAAATGCCTCATCTAGTAAGTGTAAATATTGAAACAGCCATAAAACTGGAAACAAATGGATGGTTCTTTTTTTATATGATTTGTACTTGCAGGATCCGAATCTGGAAATACCAAAAGGCCAAATTCTGTTTTAATGGACACTGCTAATACAAGAAAAGGCAGCTCATCTGTTGTGTCACTTTCTCAACCAGGTTCCCTCTCTTTGTCTGTGTCTGATGATTCTGAAAGCCTTTCAGGAACAGCTGCTGATCGTTATCAGGCAGGACGTGCAGAGGCTATGGGTGCATTGTGCCGAATATTCTGTGCTAAGAAAACAGGTGAAGAAATTCTGCCTGTTTATCTTGCTAGATTTTATCTCACTCTCCAACAAGGCCTCAGAGTTGGTGAGGTATGTCATTAAAATATATATAACTGTATATGTTTTTATGGAGTTTACTACTACCAAGCTTCTACAAGTGTCTTCTTTCGTCATCTAGGGATCTGAGTGCAGTGAAGTTCTAGCAAGCATATTACTGAACTCTGCTGATCTATTTCGGCTTGATCTTGATGGAGTCCAAGTTTTACTCCCCTATGTCATTGATGCATTAGAAGAGGTTCTTCCTGATAAAGAACTGAAGCTAAAATCTAATACAGTGTCAAGAACTGAACTCAGGCGTGCTTCCATTCATCTTCTTCTTTCAGTTCTTGCACTTCCTCTACATTTTCAGGTGAGTCCACATTCCCTTGCACATTTCTTCTTCTGCATCATTTATTATTTTTTCCGCTGTTTACAATTCTCTGTTATTCCCTTCTTCTAGAATTTGACAATTAAGGACTTAAACCCCAATACTGGTGTTGGGTGTGCTGATCGTAGTCCTCTTACTTTTGCTCAGCTAAAACCTCGTCTCATGAACCTCCTTATTAATGCCCTTCAGGTGGAATCTGACCCTCAAAACACGCAAATGCTTCTTGGTTTGTTTTCATCACTTTAATCTGTTCTTAATTTATTTCCTTTTAATAGGCGCTGTTGTCTAAACAAAAAAGTTTACTCTTTTTTTCCTGCAGGTGGCTTATTGTTGAGTGTGCAGGACTCAGCAGCATTTGAACTTTCAGACCAGGTGGCACAACCAGATGTGGTTGGAACTTCTGGTCTTGCAAACAGTGATTGTGCAAGCAATCTTCTTTCTTCAGGTAAAAAACCCAATTTGAGTACTTTATATCTTATGTAATGAAGTAGATTTAAACAAACTAAAACTAAGTTGAAACTGAAAATTTATTTTTTTAAACTTGGTGCAAGAATGGTACAACACTAATTTACCCAATTTACCATGCATGCAAGTGCCAAGAAAATTTTAATACCGTTAGTTAAATATATCTTATCTGTAACTCATTATAAATAACTGCAAGTTGAAGAAGAAACATAATCTAATCTTACAAGGATTATCAGCAATCCTATGAATAGTAATATGTACTGGTAGTACATTATGGTGTAGACAGTAGAGACAAACCTAAACTTATTAGGGTTCAATTTTAGTTCAGTGTCCAAGACATGATTTGCCCTGTCCATGTACTAAAATTTCTGTAAAGTAGTACAGTGGCTATAGATTTTTCAATTTCCTCCTGTATTCAGGCCTACTTCTAATGTGTCTCAATTATTTGCTTATTTTCCTAGCTTGGTTGCATTATATATAGCATGACTCAATATCAATGATTGAGAATGTTAGGAATATTTTTTAACTAGAGTATTCTCTATCATTCTCATCAAAATGTGTTTCTTTCATGAATTTTGTCCAATTGGTGTAATACTCAGTAATACTGAAAGGAATATTTTTCTAAATGTTTTTTTTGGTTTATCAAAATGTGTTGTATTTTGCATTAGTAGGCCCTTTATTATCATGCATCACTTGTCTGTCCTCCACTTAAATTGCTAGTGCTTTAGTCTAGTGTGCTTGGTATGTGTTTGCGAAAGTACCCATGGATCAATATTTATGCAAGGTTCTATTATTGTTTTTTTTGGTGTTTTTTTGTGTTTTTTTGTTTTGCCCTTTTTTAGCTTCTGATACTATGAGCTCCCTTAGCCTTCCCAGTCTGACCCCTAGCCATGGTGAAGATATAGTGGATGGTGCTGAAAGTGATCGAGACCCTGGTAGTGCTTTGAGTTGGTTTGAACGTTTCGACCAACCCCCAACTTGCGGCATCAACAAATGTAATTGGAATATTTTTCTGTTTTCTGTGCCAGTTTTTCAAAGCGTGGTCCACTTTACTTTTAAGCTTACGAATTCCTTTCAATTGTGCTGGTGCATTGACTCCTGGTGTCTTGCTAATTCTTTTCACATACTTTGTATCACTTTGATACCTTCATCTTCGTCTTCCCAACAGACATCTTTTTGATTAACATTTTGATGTCTTATGTGTGTGATTTGCCTGCTCTTGGAACTAGTTTTCAGCCCTTTTAAAATAATTTGTGAAGCTTTTTTTTTTTTTGTTCATTTTCCTGTATTATTTGCACTGCATGCATTTCTCTCCTTTCAATTTTGGCAAGCGTGTCCTGTTACGTATGAACCTTTTTATTTTGGTTCTGATTTTCCTTTAAAGATTGTAATGATTTCCATTATAAAAAGGGAAAGTATTACAAAAAATTATTAGTGATTAAAGTAAGCTTGATGGTGTATAGGAAAATAAGTTTTACATTGCACTTCTACGTGTGGTTAGAATGTGAAAAGTTGTACTATATGTCTTATGTTTGGTTTGGTGCTGGTATTCATTTGTGTTTGGTGTTTATATGCTTTTCCTGTTTTATGTTTCTACAGTACTTTAATGATGAATGAAGATTTAGATAATATTCTTGCGTTGTTTAAATAAGTTCATTATGAACTCTTAATTTAGTTTTGTGCTGGCATTCATTTTTGTTTTGTGTGTGTATGCTTTTTTTATTATTCTTCTTTTACCTCCCGGTATTTGCTTGCCGAGTCCAAGGGCATCCCTGTAGGGACGCTACAGACATATGGATAAATTGTGGTGTGACAAAAACATGATTAGGATGATAACAACCGTAAAATTTTAACAAGTTTTAAATGGTTAATGGTTTATGATAATGTCACTACTTTAATCTGCTCTGAGGCTTTAAAGATGAATGAAGGTGAAGCTAATCTTGTTGCATTGTTTCAGTAAATTCACTACAAACTCTTATTTTTTTATCTTTTTTTAAAAATCTGCTGTCTAAAATTGTAATGTAGATTGTGATGGTCGTTAAGCTGGTGGTGGTGTAAAAGACCTTTGCATGCTTTGAATGTTACGTGTTGTTTTAATGTGGTCCTGAAACTTATCTCCAATCCTAATCTACCGTAATCTTTTTATAACTAAAACTCTAATAGTCTGTTGTACTCAAGATAATTGTTTTATCTATCTCTCTCTATACAGATTCAGCACATGCATTGTTTGTGCGGGCTACATATTTAGTTTGCCATCGGTTGATATCAAGCTGGAAAACAGACCTCAATGTGTCTTTGGCAGCATTAGAGCTGCTATCTGGCTTGGCTCGTATTACTATTAAAGAAACAGGTGCGGTCGTCTTCTGATAAAATTGTAGGACTTTCTAAATTATCTTTGAAACAGTTTCAATTGTTTTTCTGATCTATAGATTCCTTGGAATGTAAGCGAGCTGTAAAGTGGTTATGTGACTACATTGTCTATCAATGCTGGCGACCACCACCTGCCCACTCCAAGGATTTACATTCCACAATTGTAGCAGCTTTTCAATGTTGTGCAATTTGGCTTGTTGCTCACCCTTACTTGCTTCAAGATAAAGAGTGTTTAGGAATTGTCTTAGAAGTTGTGGAGTTGGGAATCTCAGGGTCAAAGTCTGTAGTAAGTTGCACATACTTTTCTTAATGTTTTAGCTTCTCATTCTTCTAAGGATATGTTAAATCACAACATAATTTTAGGGAAAACCTGGAGAACCTGTCAAGATGAAAGATGAGAAGGAGTTAAAACCAGCATCCATGCGTGTTCGTGATTCTGCTGAGGCTTTGCTTACTGTTGTCTTGGAACAAGTACTGTGCAGTTCTAATTATTTTATACCGTAAGCCTTTTGTCTCCCCTCCTCTTCTTGTTCTACAGTACAAAAAATTAAAACATTCCAGGTTGGCTGCTTCCCATCACCTTGTGGTGCTGAATCATTGTCGTCTCTTTTGGATGAAGTTTCACTCTTACGCCACTGCAATTCATGGCCAACTGCTGGTGGTGGGCCAGCTGCCTCAAGTAGAGCAGCTGCTGTGCAGAGATTTCGTTATTTTGTTTTGGAAAACTCTACTGTGTTGGCCTTATTAGAAGAACCTCTAGGGAACGACCAAGGTAAAGTGTGAAAAGCTTTATTAGTGCATGTCTGTTATGATAAAAGCCTGCAAGTCGGAAAATCCAGGCTATGACAAGTCAAAGCTAGGATTTATGCAGGCAGTTTGACACAACTCCGTACAGGGACCCTGGGTTTTGACTTTTTGACGGGTAATTTTGGTACTTATTTGTTAGGTTTTCACTATGCCTAAAACGGTACATGTTGTATCAAATATTTATTAAGATATTTATTTTTTCTTCAATAAATTGTCAATTGTTCTTTGTGCAGTTAAATGCCAGGGTGGCGATTCAATCTTTACTTTTCTCCAACTCATTGTAGAAAATTTCTTTTTCAGACCCTCAACCTACTGTTACTGTTTTGATTCGCGGTCCCTTCGGTCGTCATGCTTGGGCTATGCAACTCCGTCACTTGCCTCGGCACAAATCAGGAATTCCTCACAAAACAGCTATGGCAGGGAGTGGAATGAGTCCTGGACGACCTGTCCCCTTGGCAGAGCACGGCATACATCAACCTAGTGCACATAGGCACTTTCCAGAAAGTGTTGACCGTATCCCTCAATGCAAAATGTAAGTTGTTACAGAGAGTCATTAATTCTTAATGGTGCATACTATTAAACTTTATCTTTTAATTCTGTTCAGAGACAAGTCCATTCCAAGTCTGGACTCTCTTCTCACCAATGAGACCACAGCAATGGAGCATTCACGTTTGGCCCAGCTTATTGACAAACAATCATCCCTGGAGGCTGGAGGAAGCCTAGGGGTTAGTAATAATAACAACAATAGTCAATCAGAACAAACAAGCAATGGAAGTTTTGGTTCATCTAGCGGTCTTGAGAAAGAGTGCACCCCTCCACCAGTTGTACATGATTTCCAAACTGCAAGACTGTTTCTTTCCCATTTTGGTTTCTTATCTCTAGATTCCCTACAGGTAAACTACAAAAATGTTTTTTTTTTCTTGAACAACACAAACACTATGTAGGGTTTTTGATAATATTTAACTGAAATGCTTTTTTTCAGGACTGTGTGAGCTCTCCTGTTCCCCCTTTAACAGCTTTGGATGCCTGCAATTCTAATTTTTGTGCAGATCTTGAGGCTCTGGATAACATAGGTGTTAGAACGTGTGATACTGCTCATGTGTTCTATGTTAGAGCTGGCCAGAAAACAGCATCTGAAATTGTTGATAATGTTGTAAGTATCTTGTCACATATTATTTAGCGATAGCATAGTTAAGTTTGCACAATATATAGTTTTGTATCAATTGTTTCACTTTTTTTTAGCTCTCTGAATCAAGTGTAAATGACCACTTCCTTGAGATGCTGCTCTGTCTTGGCTGGCCTGTTGATGTACATCAGCACCCTGGTTGGACTGGTCATATCAACACCAGCTGGAAAGTTCAGCCCCCTCCTCCAATTTGTAAGCTCAACTATTAGTGTACGCAAACAAAATTCAGAGGATGATGATAATTAATTATCTTTGATTTTAACAATTTGGAAATTTCTAGTGGAACAATGGGTCAGCACAGATCATGGTGGGAGCTTGTACAATGGTGATACACAAGTTCTTTATTGGGCAGATGTTAGCTGTGAAATTGCTTTTGTGGTACCTTCAGCTAATAACCTGAGTGGTAGTTTTAATGGACCCGACTCAGAACGTTTGGACTTGAACTTAAATATCAACAGTAGCACCAGCAGTCTAACAAGTGCAGCTATTGCTCAGCAACAACAAAATTCAAGTTTGTAGAATTTTTTTTACTGTTGTTAATTTATTTTAAATCATTGGAGACTACTGTTCAATTGTAAATTACAGGAGGATGGTATGAGCGTAGTGTGTCTGACTGTGGAGGAGTGAATGCGATTGCCCGCAATCTCAAACACCCAAGTCCAGGATTGTCGGGTAATGTTTCTGACAGACACACCCTTAACTTGGATAAACCAAGGGCCTTTTCTCTTGATTTGGATAAAGGGGTAGTCCCTCAGACTGGCCCACCTGGTTCCAGTGATAGTGGTAGGAGAAGAACTGGAACATCAAGAAGTGCACCTGCTCACCATGCACCCACCAAAGTTCTAATAATCTGGTTGGAAAGCTTTGATGACAATGTTTTTGTTCCACTTGGTAAGTTACTGACAATTCTTGCTTTGGCTCATATTTTGAAGTATTGTTATTGTTAGTATTGTTGTTCTTAAACAAGTATGTTCATAGGTGACTTGCTGTTGTACACAAGCACTGGCCTTGAAGGACCCTGTCCCCCAAGTGATGCTTCTCATCCTTCAGAGAGGGATTCTTTTGTTATTTTTCTACATGCTCTACCAAGTGGATTACTTAGAGTAAAACTTCAAGGGCCTCAGGGACGGTATGAAACAATTTTGATGTATTTTGAACTACAAAGAAAGAAAGAAAGCTATATTTTAACTGAAAATTATTTTTCTAGTATGAGTTTGGCAACACCCCTAGTAGACGGGATGGTTGTTAGTCGGCGGGCTCTGGGACCTCTTGTTCGTCAAACAGCTTTAAATATGTGTCGGAGGCGTAGATTAGACAATGACAGGTAGCTTTACTTAATTATTCAGTCTTATTCTTTCTTGGAAATATTTTTTGAAACCTAAGATTTTAATCTAATGAAATTTTTCTTTTGGGTAGCTATCAGCCTCCACATGTGCGGCGGCGTTTGAAAGTGCAAGAGTTGGTTAGCAAGTATCGCACACATATGACAGAACCTGAACTTCTCACCTATCTCTTCCATGATCCTCCTCTGTGATCTTACATAATGTATCTGTGATTAATCTGTATTTGACCATCGCAAGTATTAGTGTTCTACTTCTCTGTTGTTGTTTTGTTTGTGAGAAATTCTCTTATATTTTTATTTATTTCTGTATGGGTATTGTGCTGTGACTATTAATTATCCCTCTGATAAAAGTTAAAATGTATTTTTATCGACTCAACCTTGTATTGGCACTGTACTTCATTACATTACTTCTTATTATATGAGACCTGTATTAGGACTTAATGCCATCTATGACATGGCTATCATTATAGGCTTCTGTCAACTAATTACTACCAAAGTTTAGTTGTGTTCTCTTTATTAATTTTGTTTTAGTATTTCTAGCTTTTTTAAAAAAAAAGTTTCAGTACTATGCATTCTTTCTTTCTTTTTTAAAAAAATAACAGTTGTGAAGATTTCACGTGCAATTCCATCTGTAGAGCTATGTTAAGTTTTTGGAGGTCCTTCTGAATCGTCACTTAAATTCAGGTAAACCTACTACAGTTAGACAGTAAGAGTTTCTTTGGTAGCTTGAGAGTGGCACTCAATAACTACCTATCATATTGAAGTATTGTTCATATATTATTTATTTTATTGGCGGTGAAAAGTTTGGCTCTTGCTTAGTTTTCTAATAACAGCTGTGATTTCTCTCTTTTCTTAAATCTGTTCTTATTCTATATGTGCATGCAACTGAATTTCCTAACTTTGACATTTATTTTAATTTTTGAAAAAACAGCAATGTTTTCAGTTAATTCTGTAACTTAAGTATTCTATCTAACACACAAGGCAGCTTTTTTTTTTACTGTGTAAAAACTCAACCTACTTATTTGACTGTCATTC